TGGTGTGGATCCACGAGCGACAGATAACAAGAGGATGAGTTCTAAATTGATTGCAGATTTGATGGTTAATCGTGTTCGTGGACATACCACGTTGCGTCAAACAGGGGGCAGTTGCTAAATTTTTTTCTAATTATGGAGTCATTATATCTTATAATAAAGCATAGGAAGAAGTTGAGAAATCAAAAGGTATACTTTTGGGGGACCACTCATTATCGTATCAACAATTATGTTGGTATGTGGATGCAACAAATTGTACTAATCTGGACAACCAGATTGTGTTAGATTGTAATCATGATAATAGCCGTTTCAAAAGGTTGTTTGTTTATTTTAAGGATTGTATTAAAAGGTTTAATTATTATCGACTAATACTTTTTTTGGATGGCACATTTTTGAAAGGCATGTATAGAAGTAATCTTCTATCGGCAACAGCAAAAGATGGCAACCAAGGTAAAGTTTAATACAAATTTTAGAGTGATAAATTGGGTGGTTATGTTAAAATGTAATCGTTATGTTACACTATATTTGTTAAATTATTAATGGTGATTAAACACAGTGCAACAATGTAAGTTACACTATGTTTTTATTTTAATTTTCACGAATATTTATGTGGTTTATTTCAAGTTTGTTTCCTTTAGCATTTGCGGTCGTTGATTTGGAAAATGAATCAAACCGGTTTTGTTTTTAGAACAGCTGTCTAAGATATTGGATCACTCTTAGGTTATTACGTTTGTATCTGATCGTAACTTGAGTCTGTTAGAGGCAATGCCAAAAGTTTTCCTAAATGTTCATCATGCATTTTGCTTGTAGCATTTGAAAACTAATTTGCAGGATAAATTGAGTTGTGCTCGTTTTTTCAATGTATTCCGAGAACACATAGTGATTTTGCTACATGAGTGTGCTTATGCACCAACACAATCGTTTTTTAATGAGAAGATTGAACAGTTTCGTCGTGAAGGTAGTTCTAATGTGGATAGGTTCCTGTCCAATCTTCCATTTGAACATTGTACAAATGCTCATTTTACGGGGAAGCATTACGGTGAGATGTGTTCTAATACTACAGAGTCGTTTAACGCGTGAATTTTGAAACTTCGCCATTTATCAATTACTAGTATGGTTAACACTATTAGAGGACAGATAATGAATCAAATTGGTCGAAGGATGATAATAGTCTCACAATGGAATGAGAATTTATGCCCCAATATGTCTTCGAGATTACAAGCTGCATTTGATGAGGGGAGATCCTGGACTATACGAGTCTCAAATAACCAAGTGTTCAAAGTGATGGCATATCCTTTGGTGATTGTTGATATTGTGAATGACAAATGTTCATATTGTCAGTGGCAAATAAATAGGTTTCCTTGTTCACATGTTGTGTCGGCAATACGAAAAAGTGGGGCGGAATATGTTTGAATTTGTTGATTACTATTATCATGTGAGCACATACCAGAAGTAATATTCTGAACCTATTTTTCCAATCTCAACTATATATTGTGTTGAAAGTTCGTAGGGAGATGTTAATATTTTGCCTCCATATTCTAAGAAACAACCTGGTAGACCAAAGAATAGCAAAATTCGGGAGGAAACTCATTAGACGAATTTGTTGTGGTCGGTGTGGGTGCTTAGACAGTCACAACAAGAAATCTTGTAACGAGCCAAACTTAGTAATGCTATTATTTAATGACATTGTTCACTGTTTTAAGTTCAGTACAATTTGTTTTTACAATCTTTTTTTGGGCTTGTTTGTTTTAGTGATGCTTTCACATTTTAAATTATATGCTTTTTTTTTGGTCTAACATTTGATGGATTACTCTATATGCAACCCACATTGGCACTGTAAAGTGAATTTTTACACTATTGGAAGAGTGTATCAATGACAGTGAACAGTGTGACAATATCTTTCTCCAAACATAGTCTCAGAAGTTCTTGTAATTGTTTCCAGCCAAATGGCCAAAATCGCACATCTCCAAAGAGTTTTATCTGTGGTCACACACGGATTGCTATGGTAATTCAAGTATTAAATAGCACATGTTAGGAAGTGTATATACACAAAGCTAGAGTATTCTTGGTAGCTGACTTGGTGCAACCTCCGACCTTTAAAAGCTTGTCATGGCTTAATATGAAAACAATAAATATGAGGAATTGTGTCATTTTGGTCTACAACGAATTTGGGATATTTTATTTGTCCATTTGAAAACTACCTAATATTTAATGGATAGTGAATTTACACACTGTTAGAACAGTATATCAATAAAAGTGTATCGAGAATAGTGTAACAATAATATACACACAACTAGCTCTACATTTTCAAGTTCTCCATAAAAACACTAAAACAAAGAAAGCACAATTTATCAAAAAAAAACAAAGAAAGCACTAGGAATCAGTAAAGTGTCGCACACCGCAACTTTCAAACTTGGTATTGATATTACTAGTTATAACTTTGTCAATGATATTTGATCACATATCTTACATAATTAACCTTATTTTTTTAAAGGGTTGTAATTAATCTCTTTTCATTTTTTTTTTTTGGTTTGCATAGTTATTGTATATTTGCTTTTGGTTCATCTATGTTTAATCAATCTTTAATTATTAAATATGATGAAAAAAAATAAAAATATATCAAATTATTTTTGCCTATTAGAAGACAAATTAAAACTTATAGTTAGAATGTGTTCACCCTAGAATATATTTCTAGCTTCGCCACTGGATCGATTCTTATGTTATTTTTCGATGCTAAGGTTCGAACTCGGGTTTGGTAAAATCAAGCTTGATTTCTTTCACTAGAATATGAAAATTGATTATATAAACAAAAAAATAAATAAATAAGAAACACCATTCTTAAATTAAGCATCTGAAATCAGATGCTTAAGAAACACCTTGACTGGTTTGATCAGTTATATTTTTATAATGTCTTTATGGGTTTGGGAATGCCATTTATAAAAAAATAAAAAAGGTACAGTAAAATTACTCATGGAGTAATAAAATGGTATCCACCCATCATTTTTCGGTACTATACCAACGAGTGAATGAATTGTAAAGGAAATGTTAGGGTAAGAACATGATATAAGAAGACTATCCATATCATTTCCAAGGAAATGTTAGGGTACTACAATTTTACACCATTTTACACCATTTCCTAAACATGATATAAACATGATCAATTTACAATTTTGATACAATTTTACAATTTTACATGATACAATTTTACAATTTTACACCATTTCCTAAACATGATATAAGAAGACTATCCATATCATTTTCCAAGGAAATGTTAGGGTACTACAATTTTATTTTTTGGTACTACAACAAAAAGAGAAAAAACTTCAAAAAGTAACTAGTTTTTTTCTATAAAAAAAAGTGATAAAATTCACCCAAAAATATAATAAATGAGTCTAAAAAATGGTACGTGAATCAGGTAAAAAAATAATAAACAGTATCAAATTTTTTTCGGTGGCGCAATGTCCCCTCCTAATCCTGGTGGGAATTTGGGATATTTTCATAGAATGAGATCCGCTTCAGTACACTTTCTCTTCAAATTTTATTTTTTTGACATATTATCAACCATGTATTCAAGTAAAACTCATTGTATACAAGTGAGTCTTTCACTCATTAATGCCTTCATGAACGAAAGAACCCAACAAAACACCATTCACTGAGCAGCTGTCTCATTTTGGATTTCAATGGTGTTGTATTTGACTGTGAAACTCATTCAAATACTCCCATATTCAAGCACCAGTTGCCACAAATTGAAAATAGTTTTACAAGTTAATGCTAACGATATTAAAGCCAAAAAATGCATGGAAAAGTACAGCATTTTCAACATTATGTTTATAACAATTAAGATACATAGTTTATAGCATGAAAAGGCAAAACACTACAAGCATAGAGAGGCAAGGGTATTAATAGAACATGGCAGAGTGGCCTTGAGGCCAGAAAGTTCAAAAGCAACCATAACGTCGTGTCCAGATAAGTTTGAAGCAACAATAGAAGAAAACTTCAAACAGCTTTGATTATCCGTCTCCGTCTTATCAGATCAGCAACATACCTCGCAAAAGCATTGATTGGCTTAGTGAGGTCAGCATTTCCATCTCCGCCACACCTAATTTTGATCCGAGCAAGGTAATCAACTGCTATCCAAGCAATGCTCAACATTACTGTCTCCACATCCCCGGCCCGGCCCAACTATGGAAGCAAAAGAGTTTGGGCTTTAGGCCCAATAATTTTAGGAAAGCACCTTAATTTTAGGTAAATAGTTGGCCACTTTATAATTTTAAGTAAGTTCTACAAAAAAGTTTTAGTTAAAATTTAAGGTCAATCAAAAATTTTAATTTTAATAATTTTTTGAATCCATGATTCATCCCATAATAATAAAAACCAAAAAAATTAAAATTTTATTAAAAAAAACGGATGATATACTTAAATGTCATGTCATAATTCACCTATCTTTTATTAACCACATCTCCTCTCTCTCTCTATAAAGCCCCTCCCTCTCATTTTTATTCTCACTCTTCATATCAATTTCAAATAAATTTTTTTTTAATTATTGATTTAACTTAAAAAATAAAATTATTAAATGTTGATAGTTTAAAAAAAATTATCTTGATTTCGGATGTTTCTTAATACATAACAATTTTTTTGACATTGATCATTTAGATTTATTTTAAAAATAAAATATTTTAAAGCAGATTTTATAAATGAAAGAAAATACTCCAATTGAGACACCAATTTATATAAAAACATTAGATTTTTTTCTTCAAATGTATGCATTTCTTATAGAATATTTTTATTAATTTTTGTAATAGTTACTTCTACAAAAAGAAGTTTTTCAAAATTAAAATCGATAAAATCTTATTTAAAATTGACTATCACAAGAAAAAATAATTAGATTAGTGATATTATCAATGAAAAAAATAAGATAATAAAATTTAAATATAAAAACTCAATTTATACTTTTACAACTCAAAAAATGAAAAAAAATTAATTGTAATCAAAAATTTTTAACACTAAAAAGGCTTCAAAATTTCTGACTTGGATGACTGAAATTCCTCTTTCTCCATAAAGTAGGGATACATTTTCGGTTTGAGTTCAAATGGCATGGTGACAATCTTTCCAGTTTTGGGGAAATCAACTGCTGTGGCAGCAAGCTCTGCCAATTTGATGCACTTCTCATCCAATGCTCCATATTCACTGAGGTCAGTGTGAACCACATGAACATTCCAGATCGTACCCAAATTCTCATTAACCATGTGTTTAGTGAAATATTTTCTTATGTCCTGTAAATTAAAAAAATAACATTCGCATCTTATCAGAAAAAAACAAACATACAACAAGCCATTGGTAAGTTCCTGATATCCAAACTCATCGCCCAAACTCTATAAGGTTTCTTTGCTATCTTTATGGTGGTGACCTTAGATTGAAATCTCTCCGGTAAATATCTCAATATCTTCTAAAGCGAGACCATATCATTATACTTCTTTCGTACGGGGAAAGATGAATTTACTATGTCACCAAGTCGTGCATAGAATTTAGTGAAGGTCTCACTTTGCTTCATCCTAAGTGCCTCAAATTGAGAAATCAATCTTCGACGTTTGGACTTCTTTACAACACTTGTTCCCTCATGGAAAGCCTCTAAAAAGGCGTCTATATAGGGTGAATTCCCCTTCGTATGCGTCTATTTCCGATTCCCCGAGCTCAACCAATATCTAGCATCGCCTATAATAAATTGGGAAAAACAATAAGTAGAAATGGCAACATTATAACTAGTGAATAAAATAGAAATAGAGTAGAAAGGAGGGCCTGGTCAGCAAACTCCACTCTAACTCAAGAGAACAATACTATGGAACTCCACAGAATTTCTGAGGAGTTGGATGCACGGAGGAGAGAAAGCAATGGAACTGATCCCATAGACGTCTACCATAAGGCTGATGCTTTAATTTGAGTGGGAATGAAGGAACAAAAGTCTTCTCATAATCGATACCAAATGTGAGTCTGAATTTTCCTCAATAATGGTCTTTCCGTCAAGAAGAGGTTTGCAACCCCTCCATATCTGATAAGGTAATAAACGCATCTTCTGCAAGACTGGCAATTCCTTAGACATGGCCTGATGCCACTGAGGGATCCTTATTGCCTCACTCTCATTTTGCGGCTTCAAAGAAGAATGAACAATGGCAAGCACTATGTTGGGTCAGACACAAACTATATGGGTGTCACAAATAAGACTTTTCACCTCATACTTCTTTGGAAGTCTCACACGTACAGATTCTCTGGAACTCATTTGGAGACATGACATTGAATATCACATTCGATCATTTCGAGTTCTAACCACTCAGCCCAGTCATCCTTGTCTATTTGTTAACAGGGTTTTGCAATCTCGCCTGCCTCAGTGGTCTCGGTAGGAGGTTTCCATCCCCATTGGGTGTTCAACACTCATACTCATGGATGAACTTAAAGAATGCTCTCATTCTAGCCTTTCAATAGACATAGTTGGTTCCATCAAACAAAAGAGGTCTTGATATTGAGCCACCTTCTCATTAGGTATCCATCAATAACAAACTCATTGTTATGAAGAACCTCAAGCAAACACAAACTAGGTCAAAACTCTCAGAAATACATACAAAGTGCTTCTCGGGGTACTGATGCTTTGATACTAATTGAGAGTGCAAGTTGGATCGCCCCAAAACGCTTGTGGAGTCTGCCTAGGTTGACCTAGAGTAGGGTTAATAGGTCTTAAGCACTCCTTTTTGTAGAAATTACTCCTAATTAATAACCTAATTCATTCATTTTTCAATTAATTGATCGATTCATGCTTACACCCCTCAATCTGACACACAAACCCATTAGATAAACAAATGTATGTAAAATAGTAAAATTCAACAATCAATCAAAATGCATAATTCACCAAATTTATCTCAACAAAGCCCTTCCACAAATTCAACAGACTACAAGATCACCAATTAATGAATGAACAATTCAAGTATTAGCTCTTTGTTGATGACATTCCGGATACGATACTTGTCGGATTCTCGATGATCCATATCAGATAACATGACACAAACCCGAATATTCACACAAACAAATGGTTCCAATTTGAGTTCGGTAAATTTTGGCATGACATGTTGTGACACGACACTTCAAACAAATCCATTACTCTGATCAAATCTAATTTCGGAGTTTTAATCCATCTATCTATCAATAGAATCTCCAGATGCCAAATCATCTCTTCATGCATAATCATTTGAGAGCATTAAGATGGGTTGGGTCTCATAGAAATGTGGAAATGTGAATACATAAAATAAACCTCCAAATGCTAACAAGACTGTTCATTACTAGGTAACACAAACAAGTGGTTAATAGTTGCTTATAGAATTACAAGCATTAACACCACTACGACAGTAACTAGAACAATGCCTTAAGTAGTGAGGACTGATGGAAGATCCTCTAACCTGGTGCCAAGGATTTTTGCATTGGTGTCTGGAAAAAATTCAATCCCTGGCAATGTACCAATCATTCCATTGCTAGAGATTTCAACGGGGTAGCGAAGGAGATGGACAAGAAGATTGCCGATGTATGTATCAGTTGAGTAAAACTTCCAATTTTCATCAGCAATTCGATTAACAAACTGGACACAATCCAGACTCTCTGGGTGCACAAAGATGTCGGGCACCATGCTCATATGCTCAGACCATAAGGACAGAAAAAATCGAATATTCTACCCCTGGCTAGTTTTGTAGTTGCTAAATGATGGGGTTGATAGGCTCCCATTGCAACCTCGGAGTCCCTGGCACCATCCATTGATCTTTGGTTGATGTTCGCTGATCCGATGATTATGTATTCATCATCAACTACAAATAAAAAACAAATAAAAAATAGAGCAGCATTTTAAAACTTAGTATTAGATCTTAACAAACTCCATCATGAAGTATTTTGTTTGTCAGAATTTTTTAGTTCTTAATTAACTTAATGGCAATGTGCACATGCAAACATTTTGAGAGATTTGTATACTTACCTATCATCATATTTGCATGAACATAGATCATGAAGCGACGCGCCTGCTGAGCTCTGCTATAATCAGTATCAGGATCTGATTTCTCTAGAGGTGTGTATTCTCCCATCTTTTGGCCCTCACGATTCCCAAGGCAAAAAAAAGTCAAGTAGTCCCTAAGGTTTGCAGTGAGTCCCTTAGCACTCAAGGCTTGAGCAATATCTGTGTACATCATCTCCATTGTCCTCTTTTGCCAGTCTAAAATTGCTTGAACAGAACCGCTCATAGGTATACCCTCTGGCCACATTGGAATTACAATGTAGACAGTGAACCTCTCTCCTGCTTCAATTTTGCTAACAATTTCAAAGAAAGCTCCTTTGGTATAAGATGCAATGCACCAATGTCCTCAACCTTAATATCGTCTGATTTCCAATTGTACGAGCTGCCAACAAAATACTGATTTTCGATGTAAATAAAGTTCTTTGCTCGGCGAATGGCATGGATGTAAGCATCCTGGATGCTTCAATCAATGATGTTATCTTTCCCCGTTAACAAGGCCTACTGCAGCAGCAGCAACAGGTTTTTCTGGGAAGCCAGAAACTGCCCCACCATCAATTGATTGAAATATTTGAACGTTCCATGTTTCGAGGTCCTATGATGTTGTAACAGGCAAAGGGCGAATAATGAATTTATCAAGTTCAGTTACAAGAAAAATATACTTATCTCCAACTTGTTTCTTCCACCTTTGCTCAAAATTATACAGGACATCCCAAGCAACTGTCCTTCTAAGCGGCAATGAATATCATGCCAGGGCTCCCTGGGACCGCCTTTTCTGATTGAAGAGCCTAAACACGGGCCTTCTGAACTAAGAAACATGGGAAATCCATCACCCGGAACATGGGCATCTTGATACAGTGTGATTTGGCAACCTTGTCTTTGCTTGAAGAATGTGTAAGGGACTCCTCCAAATGTAGGACTTTAGATTCCTTGAGACTAATTACTATCTTGGTTTATATTGAAAAACTGTAGGTTGATATGCATTCTAGAGCCTACAGGAATAGGTTTATGATCTTCATCCAATATTTCGAGCCATTTTTCGATTACTTGGCCATTTAAAACTTCCTGAACAGGCAAATAAGCTCGTCCAATTAATGTTGCCCCAACAAGATTATCTTCTTTTACTGTGAATATGATACTAGAAACCATGTGGGCACAATAAACATGAAAGGACTCATTCTACCGAGGGTTGGAACTTTGATTTTTAATCTTTCTGGTTCGCCCAACCCGTGCCTTCTCTAAATCAAGGGTTGCATACAATCCTAAACCAGCAATCTATGAACCAACCAACATTTTCAGTATGTTAGAAAAATGAGGTTTTACATGTTGAAACAAAGTAGTCCGCAATTTTGTAAATGATGCAAGGTAGAAGAATACCTCAGGCCGACCCAACACCATTCTTTTAACTTCAGATAAAAACATTCTGGTAATCTTTCTTGGACTTGTAATCTCCAAATTTTCAGAGGAAAGGACAGAAAATGCAGGGAGGACATCAAAGATCGACACCCAATAAAATCGAACATAAACCCACAAGAGCAATCAAGAAAATAGGAAGTAAACATTAATGTTGGACATTGTTTGAAAATGTTCAAATTTTAGGACTGATAAAGAGCTAAATGCTGCTACAAATTATCAATTGTAAGGATATTTGTTAGGATTATCACAAATTGTACCCTAAAAGTTCTCTCGAATCTTAATTTACACCCTCGAAAATAAAAAATTTCAATTTGTACCCTCAAAATATAAATCTATATTAATGTACACCTGAAGCTAACAACAGTTCAGTTTACGATCTAAAGCTAAATTGATAAACTACACCTAGTTCCCTGCATGTTTGTCACTTAATCACCTGGACCCCCTCATTTTTGAATTATTACACTTGCACCCTAAGATTCCAAATATAACTAAAATTGTTCCCCTTATTGGGCATCCAAATATTTCTATTTAAGTGATGTATTGCATTGAATATAAAAAATATTATATCATTTAAGTACTCTTGAACATTATATAATACTTGCATTGTATTGGGTATTCAAATGGTAAGCTTAATTTTGAATTTTAAAGTACAACAGACCCACAATATAAAATATAGTATGAAAATTATAGTTATTTATTAAAACAACATCATGTTTTTTAATGGTTACATTAACCGATATTAATGACATGGGATTATGTATTACACGCGCACAAACGTCAGAAGATATAGGTGTAATATTCTATTGCTGAGGAGGTCCAGTGATTAAGTCACAAACTTAAGAGGATCTAGGTGTAATTTACTTATTTAGTTTTAGACGACAAACTGACGGTTGTTCGCTTCAGGTGCATATTGATACAGATTTATATCTTTGAGGGTGTAAATTGAGATTTAAGAGATCTTTCGGAGTACAATTTGCGATTCACCCTATTTATTATACATGGTGAGTGATAACAAATGATTTATATGCTTGGGCTGCTACAAATATTATTAGCCTCAAAACAATACGATCTGAAATCTTTTATGTTAAATTTATGTTGAAAAACAAATATTAGTATTCATGATGTGCAACATGTAAAGCTCTCTCATGAAAAATCATTGTAGATTGACATGCTTATGATTTGAACTATCCTAAATTCAAGTTGGTCAGGAACCTACTCAACAAAGCTAAAGATGTTAGGATGCTCTGTCTTTGATTGGACTGAAAAGAAAATTAATCGAGATATGCGTACACTTAAAAAGTTCACACATAGGACATAGATAGGACACTCAAACACTATATTTCTCAAAAAAGTAGAATACAAATACGTTAGGGATATGCCACAAAATATTATATTTTATATATAATTTGTTATAAATATAGTGATAATGATATGCAATTCATAAAATATTTAGTATTTTATTATAAGTAAATCTTATGTATGACCATCACACGTGAATTTTTAAACTAAAACATTATCATAATAGTCAATAATAATCAATTTGTTTGGTAAATAATGTGTACTTAATATATAATTTAAATAATTGCTCTTATTTTCTCAATTCCTCTTTTTTAAACTTTTATGCATCTTTCGCTTTAATTATTATATATAGAGTACACTTTAACATGTCTAGTGTTGGTAATTATATGTTCTTAAAATTTTAAACTTTATTAATCACATTTTAACATATGTTTATTGTCAAATAGTAGACACGTTTTAAAGGAATATCAAACATGTCACCAAAAAAGTGTCGTAGTCTGAAACTAAAATTCTATCATTTAATTATGGACACGGATAAAAGAGTATCGAACAAGTATCCAAGAGTGTTGGTGTCCAACACCGATACGTCACCTTCTTGAGAGTATCCATACTTCATAGACATATACGTAAGCTGGTTCGCACACCCCTGAATATAATGCACCAAAAAAAAAATCCCAAATTTGGAGCTCCTACTTGATCTCTCTAAAGGTTTATCCTAATAATTCTGTTTATGTGGAAAACAAGAGTGCATGCTTCTAGTCAAAAGCTCTAGAAGATCGGCATAGCCAGCTCAATAAAATCGATTGGGGTTCCTTTCCAAAGATAGTATAATTAAGTCCTTCAATCTTTTTTGTCGCATAGTTGATTGCAAGTAAATTTTTATTTTGAATCCTAAGAAATTTATTTTCGTAGAATCTACTGTTTCAGATATGGTCAATAACAGTAATGTTATGCTGACCAAATTTTGGGACCAAATTTGGAGCCCAAATAATTTGGCAGCATATTACTTGGAGTCTTTAATGAGGCCTAAATGACATAGCACCAAATAAAGAAGTCCAACTCAGCTGCCATGTCATTTGGGTTCCAAATTTGGTCCCAAAATTTGATCAGCATAGCATTACTCAGTCAATAATATACTATAAACAATAAAATAGTTCTAATGTTTCAACTATTTAGTTTTATATGTAAAATTTTTTTAAGACTTTTAGTTTTGATAACAAATCTTATTAATCGATATTGAAAAAATAATCATCTTTCAAAAAAATTTCAAATGTTAGAACAATCGTTTTTGAACTCTTACCATCTAATATTTTTGTTTTTCACACTAAATACAAGCAAAATATCTTGTTGAATTGTAAATTATTCAAATTTACCATGATTTACTATTTATAAAGAATAATGATTCAATAAAAAACTCTTTTGGTGATTTTTTTTTTTTAAAGAAACGGTAGTGTTTTTTATCGAAGGCAACTATTTGAAAGAATGAGAGGCACTAAGATTTCGGGTGCTCTCTCCTCCCATACATTAATATGGTTAACAAAACTTGCATTTCTTGCTAATTTATGTGCGACAGTATTCGCAGACTGATATACAGTAGAAACAATGAAACTATGAAAATCTTGAGATATCATATAAACTTGATAAATAATCTTTAGGTGATTGCGTAACAAATAATTGAAGCAACAGAGAGGGAAAAGATATGCTGGTAAATTTTTTCTCTTATAGCATTACTCAATTACTAGATAAACTAAGACTTGTAATATAGTTGACAGATGTCGAGAAAGAGTTATCCATAGTCCATAATTGTGTATAGTAGCGAGGTAATGTGTAAATGTAGGGATGAAGCATGGATTAGTATAAGACTTAGAAACAAAAAATAGTGCGTAGAATAAAAGATACCTATTCACCATAATATTTCTTGTACGAAATTAGAAGACCTAGTGCATTAAATTTGTTGGAGTAATAGCAAACATCATACAATATTGAGACATCGTTATTGTCTTTACCTGAAGGTACAAAGTAATAAAAAATGGTAAACAATAAACATATTTGTATTTATATTTAAAATCAAATTACAAACATAGAGAACAGATAAATGAATTTAAATATCGATTTGTAGAGGGAGTGAGAGGTGGTGGGCAGCAATGGTGGTGGTAGGAGACGGTGTTGGTTGTGATGGGTGGCAATAATCGTGGTGGCAGCGATGGTAGTGGTGGTGGCGGCGACAACGATGGTGGCTGCAGTGGCGACAGTGGCAATGGTGGTGGTGGCAACTACGGCGGGTGGTGTTGGTGATGGCTGCAGCGGGGGTGACGGCAGCAGCAGTAGTGGCAGTGGTGGTAGTGGTAGTGGCAGTGGTAGTGGTGGTGGTGGTAGAGGTAGTGGTGGAGCGGTTTCAAACACTTTTTTTAAAAAAATATTTATGAGAAATATTTTTTACAAGTACTTTTAAAAAGTCACTCCAAATAC